GATTCAGTCGGAAGACATCAAAGCATACCACAATTACAGGTTTATAAAAGAAACTTAACGAGTGCAATTATGTTGTAAAATCACATTGACACTTAACCTTCCGTGAATTTATTAGTCAGTTAAAGTGAGGACAGAGACGGCAGAATGGAGATGCCGCCAAGAGACGAAGCCAGATGGTTCCAAAACTTTTGGGGCAGCTACATTCAACGCTTTTGAGCATTCCCAATGCTTTTGCGCACAGAGACAGATGCAGAAAGGGGACACGTTGCCCGGGTATCTAACTTATCATGAACACAACAGATGCGGTTTATCTGGCCATGGAGTGCTACAGTTAGAACACTTGACCCACAATCAGAAGGTCACAAGTTCAAATCCTGGTCGAGGTTAACTCAACACCATCGTCAGCGTAGCCCTGTCTGTGGTGCCACTTCAAAAGGAAGTGAACAACGTTTACCCTGCAAGGAGACCAAGGGCCCAAGCCAGAGAATTGGGAGGTTTCCACAGCCACATCAAAGTTGCCATCGTAAGCGAGTGCCACCATCATCCATGGACTGGTGGTCAATAGATGTCCCGATATGGATTGGGCCACCCCCCCCCCCACTAGGTAGACTCAGCCTTAAATGAGTAGCACCTTTGTTGGGTGACAATGTGGTTTACGAGCACCAGTGCTAATTGCACCACGACCTCCCTCTCATAAATAGGTGCTCGCTAACAGCACTCGCTCCAACAGCTAATCTCTGTGGGTTTGTGTGTGCATCTTGAGTATTTTACAAAATATCCCCACACTGAGCTTGTGTACATACCGATTCAATGTGCGCATGTATTATGTATGTAAGTATGTATGTGTGTATATGAATGCGCGTTTATGTATTATTAAGGACCACCACTTCAGCAGGCATTATAGAGCATTATACACTTACACCTAGGTGCGTACAGTACAGTGGCTGGCCGGGGGGGGGAAATGTTGTTTCCCGTCAGAGGAACTCGGAATTTCCACCACTGGCTTAGGACCGCCGTCTATAGGGCTGACCCACACTCATCTTATGCGGAGAGAAGATCCTTAACCTTGATTTGAGATGGTCGTCGAAATTATCAACTTTCGACTGCATATTCCCTATTCGGTGCCGCACGCTGGATTGATGTGAATCAACCTTGAAGAATACCTACTTGTTAACTTTCCAACCTCCTTTATTGAAAACAATTTGAGCGGGAGACGTGGGAGATGTCTGCACTGCCCTCCGCTGCCCAAATCAAAGCCCCCACAGCTGCCTATGGCACCTGTTATTACAGGGTCGTCACCCGTCCAAGCAATGCCCTGGCTCAACCCGCCGATTAGATTCTGCTATCTGATGGAAATGGGGCCTATTCCAAGGAGATGTGGTCGGAGGCCGTGTGTGTACACAACGTCTGTATCTCAATAGGATAGTTGACCGTGAGGATGCTTGCTATGAATGTCGCACCGCCAGGCGGGTGAAGGAATACAATTATTTTAACCCTCCCAGAAAATCTGAGAGCTGACGAGGTTCAAATTTAGTCAATAAAATTACAGTGAAGCGGTGGCTCACGGATCAAGAGCACGGGGAGCCAGCACCACTGAGATCCTGGTTTGGAAACTTTGGTTTCAGCCACAAGTGGTTAAACCAGAGTTGTCATTAAAGTGATTTAACCGGATTTGCAAGTGTAGGAGAGTTGACGGTCTGAGCCGTTTCACGCAATGAACTTAGCACCAAAAGAATATGTAAAAAAAACTAGTTTTTCAATGCACACACTTTTATTTACACTGTAAAGTTTTACATAAATTATTCTCACCCCAGAAATTAATACCAAAAATGATTTGCTGAATAAAAGGAGGTGGCCTGCATAAAGAAAATCGAAAGAAAGCCACCCACTGTTATTCAGTACATGAAATTAAATACATTTTTGTATGAAAATAATGACATTTCTACTTGAGTGTAAATCAAAGTGCGTCCATTGAAAAACTTGTTTTGTACCTCTTTTTAACCGTGAAAACCATTTGAAATATTTAACTGCTATTTAATTTTACCAGGGAAGGCGCACTAGAGCTATTTAGTTCTTTATCAGAAGCGACCTGGCCGCATATGAGAGGCCAACGAAGTGGCTTATCGCGTGGACATTTATCGCAGCCAAATGCTCGAAGCACACGTTTCCAAATGTGGAGGGAAAAACCGGAGGGCCTGGAAAAAAACCCCACGTGACCATGGGGAGAACACTGCAAACTCCAAATATACAGGCGCGAGAGTCAGCATCAAACCCACGACCTCCTGTATACAAGGCGAGGTAGTTAACATCTCGCCAAGCAGATCTGAGCTTGGACAGTGCGTGGAGATTGGTGTCTACCATGCACAAACAGGTTGTCATAGGGCTGTGGTGCCACGTTGTGGTTATATCCAGTTGTACGGTACGTCTACGCTGCCCGCCTTTACCAATCTGCACTGACCAGCCGGGGTGAAGTATGGTCAAACGGTCTCCACAACCAGCAGGACGTGGGGAGGGCCTCATCCAGCAGTGGATTGACAAAAGGTATCTATGCTCCTACGGGTATTGTGCAGAGCTCATCTCCACCAGTGGCAATTCCACATTCCCACGGCAGGGAGCACCTTTAACAACCACTGACGACTTCGCACAAAGTGGTACAAATGTTATGATCCTGTAGAGATGGCGATGATGGCTTGCCTATGTGAACCCTTGACCATACAATAAATGCATGTGCATTGCGATAAAACAGTCTACGTAATTAAAGTTTGATAGCATGCGGCACGGCTATTACAATTTGAATAACGATCACCCCGATTGCAAAGTAGTGAAATTACATTTAGAACAACACGAAACGAATAACGCGTTTAATTGTCGTATTTGTGATCATTAAGTACTGCACTGTATGCAAGATGGTAAGACACAAAGACTGCAATGGTATAATGATGCGTGCATATACAAAACGGTGCATATCGCGACACAGTATTCAAAGTGCACAGATTTAGCACTTTAATTGAAAGCGCTTATATCAACAATCATAATGAGTAAATTTAGGCTATTAAAAAAGTCGACAGCATTACGGCATTTAATTGTAAATCATGACCACGGGTTTCTCACCTGCTCGCTCAACTTGAAGCATAACCTGTTGCCCTCAGAGCGTCGGAATGGGCACGACAAAACAAACGACATTGCTGTTCATTAAGATTATAACCATGTAATTATTTCGGCAATAGCAATCGTAGTAATTATTAGAATTATTGTAATTGTTGGTCTCGCGCCCGAGAGGGAACCACAGCGGCCGCTCCGGCGCCATGACGAGCGGCGATGTCAGCGCGGCCTCTCATTGGTCAGAGGCAACCCCAACAGCAGGCGCTCTGATTGGACGAGACGTTTAGCTGCGTAGCTGGGCGCGACCATTCGGAATTTCAATAAGAGGTGGGGGGAGGTCAAATGTATGATTGTTAATCATTAAAATTAAGTTTAAAAAAATCATAATGAAGATTTTTTTGGGTTAGATCGCCTAAGTAGAAATGTGTCCAAACCCTCCGCCACCCCCACCACCTTGTTGCACACGTTCCTCATAATTAATGGCAAAGTAAACCAAAACTAAATATTGATTTTGGTCTGGAGTGTCTGCGGTTCGAGCAGGATAGAAACGCGATAGATGCGAGAGGGAGGCGTGCGACGTGAGTTTTAAATTAATAAAAAAATACCTTGCCAGGTAAGGCCCACTGAGCATTATAGTTCTCTTTCAGAAGCGAACTGGCCACAAATGACAGCTCAACGAAGTGGCTTTGTCACGTGGACATTTATAGCAGCCAAAATACTCTAATAAACGCGTGACGTTGGCTCTAAATGTGGTGGGAAAAACCGGAGGACCCGGAGAAAAATCCACGCGACCACGTGGAGAGAGAGAGACGCGCAAAGTCCAAATATACAGGCGTCGGGATCGAACCGACGACCTACTGTATATCAGGCGAGGTAGTTAACATCTCGCTACCGTGGTGCAAAGGTACAGCCCCTTCAACTGCCTGCTTGCCCCACTGCTGGCGGAAGTGCCTCAACTGGACAGGAGCTCAATAGAGATCGCCCCCTGTAAAGGGTGTTCGGCTTACTGCTCCACGCCGGGCAAAGGTTTTAGAGGAAGGAGGTTGGCGGTGCCCACATTTTAACCCCACCGCTCGCGACCTGCGGGGGTTGAAGAAACTTCCCAATTGCTTCACCTGCGCCCTCTGAATTGCGAGTCCATAGTGCCCACGTCGTGGGGTTTCCCTCACTCCGCGCGGTTGTAGATACACTCCAATAAAAGGGCATACAAAGGGGGGGAAAATCGCGTAGTGCGGACCGCACAGTCAACCAACCCACGTACCGCATTGCACGAGGAGACAGCTACCTGCCGAGTAGCGCGCACGGTACACACGGCACACGAAGTACACACACACACTATTTTGTCCAACGTCTGACCGCGTAGCCGCGTCCGAGCGAATACACAAACCAGATAATATCGCGAATTTTGCATAGAAATAAAGTTTTGCCGCGTTTAACGCAAAATCGCACGAAGCAAAACTCGCACAGAGCAGAAGTGGAACCTGTAACAGTTCCCCCGCTTTCACGAGGTGATGCATTCCTGGAAACCCCGTCGTAAACTGGACCCTGTTTTCCCGCAGACAGTATTGATAGTGGGAACATCAATTTTTCGGTGTTTTCTTTTTTCCTTTTATCGGCCACAATTAGCAGGGCTTAACAGGTAAAGTAAAAAAATACACAAAACTACTTGCGGTTGACAAAATATTCACGCCAAGCAAACATCGGAGAACCGGACTGACTGGTCCGAGTCGTGTCAGAAGCTGCGTCGCAAGTCAAGTTTCTGCGTCGTACATCGATCCACCGGTGGCAGAATATGAACGTCGTAAAACCGTACACCGCCTGCACATGTATAAACGCAATCGGAGTAATGTTGGCCTTGCGACGTTTCACGCGACGGTGCACGACGGCCAAACGTTCACCTCGATTTCGTGCGGCTGACGACGACGACGTCGAGGGCGGTGTTGTCGTCGTTTGAACGTCGCGCAGCTTGAAGCACGGAGATTCCCGGGAGCCACGTGGACGGACGACGTGGGGGGCTGCGGGGGGCTGCGAAGTGGGGGGCGGCGAAGTGGGGGCAGGAGGGGGGGGGGGCTGGGAGGAAGGCTTCGTCGGGGCGAGCTGTGAGAACGCAGGGGAATAAATAATTAAAATTAATAATCGCGCCGACGACCGCGCATTCTCTGCGTGGGCCAATAATGGCACAAAAAGTAACCGAGTCCTAATGAGACAACGTGAAAACGAAAACCGTCCAAGCCAGTCCAATGTCTGAGCCTCAAGTGCCTCTGGGCGAATATTGATATTTAGATTTGTTGTAAGGGGGGGGGGGGTTTAAACCAGATTTCTGTTTCCTTTTCCCGACTTCCCGCAGCCCTGCTGGTTGTAGATGTTGGTCAACGCCCCATGGTCCTCTATAACTTTGGCGAATGCAATTTTACAAGAGAACAGTTTGTTGACTTTATTTAACTGAATGTCCTTTATTTAAACCAGACGGGGGTCCGATCGAGCTTCAAAAATGTCTATTTTGGTAATTTGAGGACAGAGTGGCTTTAGCTATCTATCGACACATTTTATATATACATAGAATGATCATTATTAAGTTGTGGATACGTTGTTTTATGTAATTTTATGGAACACAAATTGATCACCTCTTTTAGCAAAAGAGGATGATGGCGATGACGCGTTGGCTGCTGCTGCTGCTAATGCGAATTCCACTAAATGGTGAAGTTTCTATTTAAAGCTTTCGTGACTGCAAGGATTCAACTTCTTTGGTTCTTTCGGTAAAGTCACGTAGAATGAGAATAAAATAATAAAATAAAATTAGACAATAAAATTCTCACGACGTTTCGGCCACAACACAAATAGCCTTCTTCAGGTGAAAGAACAGAACTGTCGGGACGACAGAGCTTCAATTGTTGGGACGACAGTGCTTCAATTGAAGCTCTGTCGTCCCGACAGTTCTGTTCTTTCACCTGAAGAAGGCCGCTTGTGTTGTGGCCGAAACGTCGTGAGAATTTTATTGTCTTATTTTTATTTTATTATTTTATTCTCATTCTACGTGACTTTACCGAAAGAACCAAAGAAGATGAAGTTTCTGTTGTCACCTACTGCTGATGAGACTGCGGATGGCAATGCTGCTGCTGCTGCTGATATGATAACAATGCGGCTACTACTACAACTGCTGCTTGTGCTGCTACTACCACTGCTGTTTTCTGTGACCCCGGCAATGACTTAAACTCATGACCTCACAAAAGGAAACCTGGCTTCATTCTTCACCACCATTATCACCATCAACCGATTAGCACGGTTGGCTACGTACGGTGCGAAAGAAGTTCAACATGCATAGAGTTGAGCCAGATTCCTTCCTGGAGGAGCAATGCGATTGTTCCACCACACGGCCATAAGCAATGTGAGAGGCACAGCACTGTCACCACTATAGTAAAAGTGCCATACCACAGGTCGCATCCTCTAAGCTCGCGTCCCAAACGATGAAATGCCCCCCTCAGCAAATTTGTAATTTACTGAGGACAAACGTTCCCCCTGCTTTCTTTTTGCGTATTACGCAAATGCAGCCGATTTTGTGTCAATCGGATGAAACCTTGTGCATGCGGTTTGGGGTGAGTGTGTGTGTGTGTTACATTATGCGTGTGTGAGTTTGAGAGTGTACGTGTTTGTGTGTGTGTGTGATGGTACACAGTGGGGAGCGGTAGTGTAGCGGTTAGCGCGCTGCGCTATGAACCTGGCGACCCGGGTTCGATTCCCGCTCACGGCCAACACCGGTGACGATTATCTGTACCGGTCCCGGGCCTCCCCTAGGTCGACTCAGCCTCAAATGAGTACCTGGTGCGGTGTGTAAACATTGCCACTAGGGAGACAAAGGCGGTCGGGCGTGGTGCTGGCCACCCAACCCCTCGTGTACCGTTCCGGCCTTCATAGGTGCTCGCTAACAGCACTTGCCCCTACAGTCTGTTAAGGCTATATGGGGGATCTTTGATCTTTGATGGTACACAAGTGTGTGTGTGTGTGTTACATTATGCGTGTGTGAGTTTGAGAGTGTACGTGTGTGTGTGTGTGTGATGGTACACAAGTGTGTGTTACATTACGCGTGTGTGAGTTTCAGTGTATATGTGTGTGTCTGTGTGTGTGTGACGGTACACAATTGTGCGTGTGGGTGTTTGTTCAAGAGTTAATGTTTTCACGTGTTTCGAAGTGCGTGAGTGTCAAGCAGTGGCACAGTGGTTAGCACATTGCAGTATGAACCCAGCAGACATCCGATTTAGATTCCCGCTCACAACCAATAACAGTGACAGCGAGTATTTGAACCTGTCCTGGGTCTCCGCTAGGTCGACTCAGCCTTAAACGAGTACCTGGTGCACTGTGCAAACATTGCCACTATGGAGACAAAGGCGGCCGGGCGTGATGCTGGCCACGCCCGGTGCTCGTTAACTTCACTTGCCCTAAAAGTCCGTCACGGCTATACGGGGGAATCTTTGTCTTTGTTTTGTGGTGCGAACACTGCTTCACCAACTGGACACCATGTTGACCCAGGTTACAATCCCGTCCATGCCTGCACATCACCACCACCACCACACGATCTCACAATCTCACAGTGCCCAGCTCTCCTTTTGGTAAAGCAGGCACTGAGCCTCCCCTAGGGTGACTCAGCCTTAACGAGAACCTAAAGGCAACACACGCTCGCCAAAATAAATTTAAAAAACACCGCCCTAATAAGCAAGAAGATACGGAATATTCGACGTTTCGGGCGATGCTATGAGGACCATTCCCCGAAACGTCTAATATTATATATTTATTTTGTGTGTGTTGAGTTTGTGTTTTTTTGTGTGCTTGTTTAACCGCTGCCAACGCAGCAGCAGCGGCAGTATCAGAAATATATGTTAAACTTAAATCGATTTCAGCGCGCCAAACATCAGCCCTGGAGAGACAAAGGCGGTTGGGCGTAAGCCTTTGCCACCACGTGTGTGTGTCTTTTTGACCTTAATAGCTGCTCGCTAACACCACTTGCTCCGTGGGTCGATGTGGGTGAAGATGACATATTTGTGTGTGTGTGTGAGAGTGTGAGGGAGTGTGCGTGTGCGTGTGTGAGAGAGAGTATGCGTGAATGTGTCACATGTTTTTTCAGGATTTCATAATAAAAAATAAAAACCGAAAAATAATTAAACGGAAAGCTCATAAAATCATGAAAAGTGATAAAAATGTCAAAGCGTGAAAAACGCGCACGTGAGCTCATAAACTCACACACACACCAACACGTACACTCATACATACATGCACACATACACACCAACACACTCAGACAAAGACACTAATACAACAAAAGATAAAGATCCCCACCGTATAGACTCAACATACTTTTTGGGGCAAGTGCTGTTAGCGAGCATCTATGAAAGCCAACACGGGCCACACGAAGTGGTTGGTGTTACCAGAACCAATCATCCTTGGCCACCGTTGTTTCCCCACTACTGATGTGTTACACACCGCACCAGGTACTCATTTAAGGCTGAGTCGACCTTGGGGAAGCCAAGAGACTGCGTTCAGATATTCAGCACTGTTATTGCTCGCGGGTGAGAATCGAACTCGGGTAGCCCGGGTTTACAGCAGAGTGGAACGTTAACTGCTACGCCACCGCTCCTCAATATACTCAGATATATATACACAAAAAGCCAAAGATTCCCCGTATAGCCTTAACAGATTGTTGAGGCAAATGCTGTTAGCGAGCACCTATGAAGGCCTGAACGACGCACGAGGGGGTGGGTGGCCAGCACTACGCCCCACAAGATTTGTCTCCCGAGTGGCGATGTTTACACACCGCACCAGGTACTCATTTGAGGCTGAGTCGACCTAGGGGAGGCCTAGGACCGGTTCAAATTATTGTCACTGATGTTGGCCGTGAGCGGGAATCGAAACTCGGGTCGCCAACCACTACACTACCGCTCCCCACACACACAAACGTGTACACACACACGTTGAGCACTATGGAATACACGTGTCACGTACGATTTTTTTGCGAGGTAGCGCGTGTCTTTCTATCACGGACGGACAAAACAAGAACGGAACTGAGCACACGGAGACACTGACAGACGGGCAGACTCCTCACACGTGGAGACAGTGAGAGGCAGAGGAACAACAATGAGAGACGTGAAAGGACGCACGGACAGACAGAGACAGACACACGTGGAAAGAGACAACACAGAGGTGACACAACAAGAGACACGTGCGGCTGTAGAAAGACCTGGAAAGACACAGGAACAGAGAGGGAGGACAGAAAAACGTGGAAAGCCAGACACGGAGACAGACGTGGAGAGATTGGGACCAGACAGACACACACAGGCAGCGCGTGTCACCGAGAGACAGGGGGGCTGCGACATACACACAAGGAAAGTAAAAGGACACAGGGAGACGGGCATACGAGAAAACAAAAAAACATACAAAAACAAAGATCGTTCTTGACCCCTCTAACCGTGACGTGTCCTACTCAAGCCCCACTTACCATACTCAAGTTTAAATTATGGCATTAGCCCCCATAAGCTCTCGAATTCGCGTCTTCCTCTGTCCGCATTGCGCGCTTTCAGATGCGATTCTGCGGCCGTCTGGAACGCTCTTCCTTCCGATATTCAGAAGCCAAATCAAGACTGAAAACTAATTTATTTAGAACCGATGTTTGCGTTTAGTTTGTTGCCCTTTCCCCGCACCTCCGATGAGCAGTCGTTGGCTATGTATGGCGCTAAAGAAGCTCACATGCGTCTCGGCGTCCCTCTGCCAATGTAATTTCAAGAGCGCGCGCCTTTTAAACGTGGCCCTCTTTGCGCACTTTTTTCAGACTTTCTGATCCGTTGCTTTCGTTCGGGGACCGCTGCGTCTGAACCACGCGTCGCAGCAGCGCGTAGCGTTTCACGATAAGATTCTGAAAAAAACAACAACAAGCATTCGCGGTTCTTTTTCTCACTCCACAAACGTGGAAGCGCAATTCTCCTTCGTCCTATGGCTGATGCAGAGCAACAGCGATCATCTTGCACCGGGGTGGTTGAGCCGAGTGCATCGCTGTGATGACGCCTCCTCCTTCGTCATTTGTGAATCGGCCATTGGG